CTTCACCAATTTTTGAACAATTAAACCATAAATATTATTTAGATTGTTTCAATGTTATCTTCTCCAGAAAACTTTATTTCATATTCTTCCCATTCATCTACAACACAATCTTATTTGCTTTTAAATTTCAATAGCATTTCATTTATTTCTTTCATGAAAGCTTTCACTTTCATTCCTAGATCTTATACTTGGCATTTTACCACCTCCATTGATTAAGAAAATTGAGAGGCTCTCTGCTCTTTTCTAGCTCTTTCTCAGCTCTTTCCTTCTCTTCTCTTTCCCAGCTCCCTTCTCTTTCCTAGCTCTCTTTCCCACCTTTCCCAGACACTCTCTTTTCTAGCTCTTTTCTCTCTTTTCTAGCTCTTTTCTCCCTCTTTCCCAGCTCTCTCTCTCTTTCCCAGCTCTCCCAGCTCTCTTTCCCAGGCCTTTCTCCACCGCGTGGAGGACCAAGATGGCCTGGTGCCAGCCGGAATGATGAATAAACCTACCCCTTACCTGAATACCACATGCGTGGTGCTGTTCTTATTCGGCTACCTCTTTAAAAAAAAAAAAGAAAAGAAAGAAAATTGAGAGGGAGCAGATGCTATAGCTAAATCAGCTTTCTTCCCTCAATAATTCCCAATGTGGTTTCCCTAAACAGTAATAACTACTAATGATAATGATAGTAGTTGGTAGCTAAATTAATCATCTACCACGTACTAGACACTATTCTAAACACTTCTGCAAATATTAACTTATTTAATCCTTATAACAACCCTGTAAGAAAGTTACTGTTATTACCAGCAATTTACAGAAAGAAAAAACACAGAGGCACAGAGAGGTTGCATAATTGCCAAGATTACAAAGCTAGTTGAGTAACAGAAAGGAGATCTGAATTCAGACAGTCTGACTCCAAGGTATGCAGACTTTACCACAGTAAATTTTCTTTGAAGCTTAATAAATGTTAGCTGAATAAATCCTAATTAATAAGGTACCATTCCAGGAAGGAAAGGTAATTAAGATCTTTAGGTACTAAGTCACATAGAAGTTATAAGGGTAGGGAAAGCATAAGGAACAAACTCTCATTCTGACAGGATAGTCAATGAACTTTGGGGTAGGGCTGAAGTAATTCAATAATGACCACTGAACCCTAAGTTATAACTTTGTTTCTCATACATAGGTGACAGGAGTGCAGATTAGTAGTATTAGTGTCTAGCGAAAGATAGGCATATCCAGAAATTCCAGAAATTCCACTCATATTTTTATTCCAACAAAAATGCATGTTTATATACATCAAAAGAATGTTCTAACTATGTTGAAAACGAACTTTACAACTTGGTGGGGGGAGAAGTTGGGGAGGTAGGGAGGGAAGGGATAGTAGGAGAAAAACAAAGGAGGAGGTAACAATGCTCGATAGGAAATGTACTCATTATCCTACTCATAACTGTAACCCCTCTGTACAGTATTTTTACAATAAAAATATATATGGGGGAAAAAAGGAAAAAAAAAAGAATGTTCTATTTGTAATACAAGATCTGAAAATTCCCCATCAACTGACGAATGGATAAATCTTATGTGGCATATTAATAATGAGGATTATTTATATATGGAATAATATGGATGAATCAATATTGAGCAAAAATTAGACACAAAGATTATTTACTGTATAAAATCATTTAAATTAAGCACAGCAAAAGAGAAACCCAGTACATCCCTTTAGAATTCAGGATGGTAGTTAACCCTTAGGTGAGGTAGTGACTGAAAAGGAGCATGTTTTTCTTGATCTTGGTGCTAGCTATCTGGGTATATCCATTTGCCAATCTTCCATTGAACTATAAACTTATAATCTATGAATTGTGTGTGGTCTAGCTCGTGTATATTGTACTTCAATACAATTTTTAACATCTGCCCAAAAAAGAATCAAAATCCAAAAGTAAAAGCCATTTCTCGCACTTGACATAAGAATGACTGACAAACTCGGTTTGTCCTGAGATAGACAAAATAGACTTTTTTCCCTCTGTGGTAATGAGCAGGATAATGAGTTAATGAGGAGGTTACTGATTAAGTTGTGATTAATCTAGCCATTAGTGAAACCTTAATCCTTCCAGAAATTTAGAAAAAAACAAAAACGATAGCAATACACACCCTGTGGGCAGTCATAGTCCTGCCAGGCACCAGATGAAATGTCAATTTGTTTAAAGAACGAAATCTTCATTTGGAATTTTTATTCATATTTTAAAGACTTACATCACCCACATAATACATGATGAGAGTCTGGTTACTTGTTAGCTAAAATTTTCTTGAGCCTGAATCCCACCTTCACACCAGTCTGAAACTGAGCAATTTGATCTTATTTTTGTGCTGGTACTGGGGCTGGAACTCAGGGTCTGGGCACTATCTTAGTATTTTTTCCACTTAAGGTTAGTTCTCTACAACTTGACCCACAGCTCCCTTCCAGCTTTTTGGTAGTTAATTGGAGATAAGAGTCTCATGGACTTTTTCTGCCTGGGCTGGCTTGGAATTGCAAACCTTACATCTCAGCTTAAGTAACTAGTATTACAAGTGTAAATCACTAGTAATTGTATCTCTATAGGCCTCAGTTTCCTCATCTTAATATGGGAATAACAGTAACATCTCTCTCAAGATATTTTTCCAATGATTGAAGAGCTACTTCATACAAAACAATTAGCACAGTGCCTATAATATAAACATTCAGTATGTCTTATCCACTATCATTATTTCTTTTTTTTGGGGGGGGGGATCCGGTCGTGGGGCCTGAACTCTGGGCCTTGGTGCTGTCCCTCAGTTCTTCAGCTCAAGGCTAGCGCTCTACCGCTTGAGACACAGTGCCACTTCTGGCTTTTTTCTTTTTGCTTATGTGGTGCTGAGGAATCAAACCCAGGGCCTCGAGTATGCAAGGCGAGCACTCTACCACTGAGCCACCTTCCCGGCCCCACTATCATTATTTCTCTGCTAGCCAGTTAATGGTTTCTTCTCATAGCTTTAATTCTACCTTCCTACAGGTGGATTTAAATATCTTAGTATTTTAACCCTCAAGGGCAAAGGCAATTCCTCTTTTTTCTCTTTCCCAGTCAAAAGAACAAAAAGATTATTCAGGTAAACTTATTTTTAAGTGGGCAAGTAAAATGGGTTGTTATTAGGTGGGTTGCTAGAAAAGCAAGTTCATATAGAAGAAGGCCTTTGCCTTTTTAGTGGGGCTACCATGTCATACCACACAAGGAACCTGGTATAAATGACATGACCTGGAAATGAAGGGATTCAGATACAGTCAAGGATGCATGCTACAAGGGATGTGGTTAATCTTCTACAGATAGGGGCATGAGGAGAGGCTGGTGAGTAAAGAAAATGTTTGAAGGCTGGATAGTTTGCTTTTCCCATCAGGTGTCAAAGTCTATAGCCAACAAGTAGGCAGAGAACACTTAGATTTTTGTTACAAAAAACCTCAAACTTTCAAACCAGGAGCTAGGTGCTATGGCTCATGCTTTTAATCCTAGCTATTTAGGAGGCTGAGATCTGAAGATCAGCTTTTGAAGCAAGCTGGGGCAGAAAAGTCTATGAGAATCTGATCTCCAATTAATCACCCACAGCCAGAAGTAGAGTTGTGGGTAAAGAGGGAGAGTGATGGCCTTGAGTGAACCAACTAAGGGAGTGTGCCCAGGCCCTGAGTTCAAGCTCTAGTAACGGCTAAAAACACCACCAAAACTTTCAGCTGAGCACTGGTGGCTCATGCCTGTAAAATATAGCTACTCTGGAGACTGAGATTTGAAGATAGTAGTTCAATACTAGTCCAGGCAGAGAAATCCTAGACACTCATCTCCCATTAACCAGTAAAAAGCTGAGAATTGGGTTGTAGCTCAATTGGCTGAGATCTAGTCATGAGCAAAAAAGCCAAATTAGAGCACAAAATCTTTGAGTTCATGACCATGTACCAGCACATACATACATATACTGAAAAACTCTTTTCATGCATACTTTTTATTTAATCCTCAGAACCACCTGTGTGCAGTGAGCAGAGACAAGTTTTATATTCTCATTGGGTAGATGAGAAAAGCCAAGCCTCAGAGTGGTTGAACAGTTTGCCTCAAGACATCATCAGTTCATGTTTGGTGAGATCAAACACGTTAATTAAATACTAGTGACTTCAGAATCCCTGGTCTTCCCATTTAAACATGCTAGATTTTTATGTGGACTTGTTAGCCTAAGCCATATCTGTTACAAGCAATGGAAAAACATTAACCACATACTAGTTGTCAAGTCTTCACTGTTTCTCCATCCTAGTGAGAGGATAAGAAAACGTCAGTAGGAGGGTGGAATTGGAATATACAAGGGTTGGCGTTGGTCTCAGAGGAAGATAGTAAGACAGGAGGGTCTGAAAAAAAATGAGTGGGAAAAAAAAAAGCCGAAGGGGCTCTAACTGCAGACTATAAACAGGCGCCAACTGACCAGGTATTGCTACAGCTCTTGGGTTTCTCCTCCCATCTTAGCTCTTCACAGCCCCCTCCCCACTTCTGTTCCCGTAGCGGTCGGCCCCCTACCCCCCTCCCGCCAAAAAACAACAACAACGCGCGTTAGGGGGCCGGCAAGGCATATTAAAGGGGCCATCTGGAAGTTAGTGAAAAACGAGGAAGAAAAAAGGAATCAACTATCTAGGGGTATTGGGGAAAGCTGAAGTAAAGGTGGGTTTGAAGGTACCGGCTGAGGTAAGCAATGGAGCCCCATGGGGTCGGAGGAGCACGATAGACGCGAGCTGGAGCGGTAGTGTGTGTGGGACAGCGACACAGACCGCCTCTCTCAGCTCCGCGACCGCTCCGCGGCAGGTCCTGAGGTGGACAGCGCAGTTTGGCTGAAAGGGGGTGTGGACTGAGAAAATGCCACGAATCCCAACACGGAAAGAGGGCGTCAAAGAGCAGCCCGAGGAGGTGCCGGGGTGTACCTGAACTCCCAGCTGAACACCAAGAAAGAACCCACAGCTCCCGACCTTTTTCTAACTTTTTCTTTACCTTAGGTCTAGTGATATAGTCCATGGCCGCAGTTCCCACCAGCCAGACCCTCCGGCACTACTCTGGCTGCAGCCGTGCAGCCGCTCCAACCGTCACTGAGCTCAACGACTTTTATCCCCCCGCCCCCCTCCCCGAATCCCGCCCCCCCCGCCCCCCCCCCCGCCTCCGCCCACTCCAACTCTCGTTTTCAAATCCGCTCCTATGCTCTTATCGCGATATTTCTCCCGTAGCCATTTCCGCCATTTTTCTTTCTGGCAAATACTCTTTTCTTCCGGCACTGATTTCAGTTCAGATTTCGTTTCAGATTTAGCCAGGTCCAGACTTCATGCTTTAAGGGGTCTAAGTTCCGATATCACTCCACTATTGTAATATTACCTAGAAAACACAGGTCGACTTGAGGTGCCTGCTGGATTTCTAGTTTTTTTCACTGAGACCTTTGACAACTCACTGAAGGTTTTTTTTTTTGTTTGTTTGTTTTTTTTTAAATACGAGAGTGTATACTCTCCTTTCCATCTGTTACTGCCAGCTACCTAGTTTAGAGCTAACTTACTGTGTAGCCTATAACTGTTATCATTACACGTAGACAGAGGACCATCAATCTACAGGACAAGCTCTCACATGAGATGCAGATTAAGTGTATTCCCGCAGGGCTGTACTCTGAATCGTATGTTTGAGGGGAAAAAGAACAATCCGAGAATTGAAAAACCTGTGTCCCTCTCAGGAAACCTGCTGTATGACTTGGAGGACATCATTTCATATCACCTGGCCTTAAATTGACCCAGGTTACAATGACAGAACTAGCTCTACAATTACATTAATATGGAAAACAATGGTTTGCAATCTCATATTCTTATGCCCACATAAGGATCCCCAAAGACCACCAAGGAGCGCCAATTCCGATGAAGCACATGAGAATCGTTTATTACAAGCTTGAGCCTGGACTCACAACCATCACCTAGGCAGCAAGTCAAGAGTTGAGAGCCCCGATGCTTCCTCTAGCAGGGTTTTTATAGGGGTTTTAGAGACTTCTATGTGTCATTGCAACACAGCAAATCATATCACAACGTGGGAAAATCATAAAATAAATCTAAAACATGATTAGTGTAACCAGTGGCAGGACCCAACCAGGTACTGGGGATTGGCTGGTTCATGGGGTTCATGCTCTTTGAAATGATTGGCTGGAACAGATGGTCTGAACCCCAACCAAGTGGTCCTTATCCTGTTATCTGCTGATTAGCTGTGGTTAGCGGAATTTTCCATGAAGGGGGTTGTTCCTGGAATTTAGGCTCAAGGGGATCAAGGGGAGTTGCTGATTTCCTGGAATTAGGGTTCAAGGGGAGTTACACAGTTCCCGGACAAAATGGAATCCAAACCTAAAATTGCTATATTTCGTTCAGGTTTCACATTCCCCCCTTTACTACTAAGGGGGCCAATCATGGTCCCTTCATATCTAGTTCTATGTTAACTTCATCTATGGGCCGATACTGAGATCTGAGAACCAGTACCTGGACTGCATTAACCCGTTCTTTTACAAAGATTAGTAGCCTGTTAATCATGCAAGGACCAATTGTGACTATCAGAACTAACAATATCAGGGGTCCGGCCAGAGGCATTATCTATTCAGCCAAAGGGTTGCAAAGCGATCCAGAGTCCAGGTTGGTAGTGGGACATTTGCAAGCCCCTGGTGCAGTTTTTCCAAGACCCTCACGATTTCTTCTACCAGTCCTGACTATATATCATGGCTAACTTAATTTTATGCCAGCTGTACTCATAAGCTCCTCCAGGTGACTGTCAGGCTGTCGTTGAACTTTACCCATTAGGGTGTGCAGCAGCAGCAGCAGGATTTCTCAGTGGCTCCAAAGCACTGTCACACCTCATGCTGGGCTGCAAATTCCTACACAGACTTGGAAGGCTGTGACCCCACTGTTTTTTAAGACCATTTAGACAATGGCCCAGGACAATTTACCAAGACAACTTTTTAAACAGACACAGAAGGCTTGGTCTTCTAACCATCTCCGACAGGTGCACTCCACACTTGCACACCTGTTAACACTATTCTATTTTGCCTTGTCTTCCAAAACTGACTCTGGACTCTTGATTTTAAAAGGGGGGTTGATGAGCAAAGTATATCTTCTGTAACTTCTTCAAGCTGACTTCAGAGGCGTTGATCCTACCTAGCTGGGAACCTATAACCTTAGCCTATTTTAACTTTTGACAAATGCACAGAACTTATCTCTGGCTACAGCAGTGTAGCTTGTTTAGCACTCTGATTTGCAAAAGCATCTTTCTGGATGGCTTAGGAATGTGATCTCTAGTGACCCTAACAATGCCTAAATTACCTGTGCAGGCCTTCAGACAGATGTCAATAGAAACACACTCTCAGGTTTACACACTTTCCTGAACAGATGAATTTCATGTAGCTGGTGTAAGCTCAAAATTTACTGCCAATTAGGACTTTTGGCACATACAGGGGTTGGGATTTAAACTATCTCCCACATTTTGTAACTTTAGCTTTTTACAAGGTAGTCATGGACATTAGGCATGCTTACAAACCATCTTTCCATGACCTCCTGGCTGTGACCAATTTTGAAGGGCCACGCATAAATGACTCTAGGATCTGACTTTGTTTCTTCCATCCCAAGCAGTGGCTTACTGCCTCTGGATGCTCCACCTTTGCTTTCATCCCAGGAGTGTCTTCTCCACACCAGGATAAAAGCCTCATTGGCATTTCCCTTAGCTGGTCGCTGGACTTGAACTCAGGGCCTGAGTGCTGTCCATCAGCTCTCCAGCTCAAGGCTAGCACTCTGCCACTTTGAGTCCCAAAGCAACTCTGCTTGCTCTTTCAGCACTCTGCAGATTAGAGATGACAGTCTCATAGGGACCTTTTTCTGCCCGGGCTGGCTTTGAACCAGTTTGCAGATCAATGAGTCTTATAAAAGGCCACTTTACTCCAATTAAAAGCAACAAGGAGGTCAACATAGAAGCAGCTTTTAAGCATGCTCTTTGTGGGCCTGCTAGGAACTGTTATAAAAAACCTATAGGAGCAAACAGAAATAGCAATTAAGCAATTATTTTGGTAATCCTAATTTTTCCTTTTTGCACTTTGACGCAAATGTTAAGAACAATTTTACTTTTAAGCTTTATATCCAGGAATCCATTTCTAATTTTTAATCCTCTCATTTTCTTTTAATATTTTATACTTTAGTTTTCATTTGCATTTTGAAAAGATCCCTTGAAATCTTGAGGTCAAGTGTCACTCATTGTCTCTTGGCTGCTTGTTTTAAAACAGATACACATTAAAAACTTTTAAACTCAGACTGGGAAGGTGGCTCAGTGGTAGAGCACTTGCCTTGCATGCATGAGGCCCTGGGTTCGATTCCTCAGCACCACATAAGCAAAAAGAAAAAAAGCTGGAAGTGGCGCTGTGGCTCAAGTGGTAGAGCACTAGCCTTGAGCTGAAGAGCTGAGGGACAGCGCCCAGGCCCAGAGTTCAGGCCCCACGACCGGACCACCCAAAAAAAAAAAACTTTTAAACTCAAATGACAATTTTTCCTTAATGCAAGAATTACAGTCCCCATCACTGTACCAAGAAGCTAGACTTAACACCTTTATGACTTTTAAAAATATATCCTAATTGTAGAACATCATTGAAAGCAAGTCACATTATACAAATAACTTTTTAACCCTCTTTTTAAGGCCTTCTTAATTTTAATTTTAACATATCCAAGGGGTAGTTTTAGCAATGCTAATCAGATCATCACATCACTAATTTTTACCATCACCTTTCCAGTGTCTATCTGCAGGGAAAAGGGACAGAACAAAGATGGGCTACTCGGCCCCTCCTATGGAATGGGCATACACCCTATCCGACTTTAGGGTTAGACGAACTGCATTTGTGCCAGCTTGCCCTCTTTCACCAAGTGTGGACTCCTCCCAGGGCCTGTCCCACCAAATGTGGACTCCCTCCAGGGCCTATCCCACCATGCATGACCTGCTGAACTGCACTTCTGCCTGTTCACCTCTCACCCCTAAAGATAGATCTTCTGTTGGCTTCTAAGTTTTTCCCTTTTCTTTTCTCTTGGTTCTTGAATGAAATACACAGTTTTAGACAGATAGAACAATTCTTTGACAGTGTTAAACTTTTACATTTAAATTTTTAATATTTATCCCCAAATTTTAGCCAAGGGAACTAAATCCCAAACAGCCAATGCCTTTTTGTTAAGCTAGATAACTTGATTACAGGGCAAACAGCCTTATGCAATCTAAAATACCAGGCTTTAAAATACCAGATTTTCTAATTTTCAAGTTAAAAAATCCTTTAAAAGCCTTTTAAAACAATGTGAATATTCTTTGAGATTTCTTGGTAATGTCCATACCTCATAACCTTTTGAATTTTAAACTTAAACTCACCAAATTGTTACAGCATTCTGACAACTTTTATCTTCAACATGTTCACAAACACATACAAAACACATTCACAGATCTTAAAGCATGCAAAAATGAAAATTAGTTGTATGTACATTTTTAAAAATTTTAAACAAAGATTTAAGACAAGATTTTTTTAAACAAGATACCTTTGTTGATCTTCATTTTCCCAGGGCTTTTTGTTTAGCCAGGCATATCACCAATTGGTCTTTTGAATACCTTCTGTTGGAGGAAAGCTGGGGGGAGGGGGCACCTGAAACTAAACTGGCTTGATTCTGTGTTTTACCCAATTTTAGACAAGAGCACTTTACAAAATGTTACATTGTCAGGACCAGCTGAAAAGTCCAAACCAGGCACACAGCCTTCTACACTCTCCCCGCTGGCAGCCTCCACAAGGAGAAAATGCAGCTTGAGACTTGAAGGGGACCAAATTAGTCCACCAACCTTCCATGTCCCACAGGGAGGGAGATAGCAGGTCTGTGACTGGGCCCAGCTGGAGGCTGGAGCTTTTATTCCCCCAGAAATGTTCAAATAAATAACAAAAACACAAATAAACACAAAAACCAAGGATCCACATTTAAAACTGGTACCAATTCTAAAACAGAACAAGACAACAACCAAAGGTTGAGTTGGGGACTAATGGGCCCCCAGCTCATCCC